ACCAAATGAAGCCAACTACAGATGTGAAAGCATCCTTAGTCCCTTCAGCATGTCTTGGATCTTCCCTGAGGCCTCCTGGTGGGACATACTTGGAACACCTACCTACAGTAGGTAGGCATCCAGGAGGCATCTGAAACAGTCGCTCGAGCCACCTCAGCTGATTTCTCTCCATGTGAAGGCACAGCGGCTCTACTGCGAGCTCCTCCCGGGTGTCAGAGCTCCTCACCCTATCTGTAAGTGTGCGCCCTGCCACCCTGTGCCTCATTTCGGCCGCTTGTATCCAAGATCTTGTTCTCCCAGTCTTGACCCAAAGCTCATGACCATAGGTGAGAGGAGGAGCGTAGATTGAATGGTGAATTAGTTTACAGAAAAGCAAATGAGTAACTTCCCCTACACACGGCTGAACAGTTGTCTGCAGCTCCTGCTGTCATGATGAACCTCCAGAGAAGCTTCAGTTTAGCTCACTGAGTTCATGCACAATTCCTGTTTTTCTCCTTTAGGATCGGGCTTTGGCTCAGCTTTTGAAAGTTTAATACACAGTGTTTTATACAGTAAGGTTTTATTTTAGATTATTAGGTTTATTTTGCATCTTAGAAGCTCTTCAGTTCTGCAGCTGATTGTGACAAAACACTTCTGCCTGATTAAAATGAACAGAATTAGCAAGCACTGGGGATTTGTTATTGTTCCTGCTGTACTGTACTCATACCGTGAGTGTACCGTTATAATGTTGACTTTTCTTGGGCACTTTTATAAGGGCTGCTTTTTACTCTGAGTGATATTTATGCAGATGCCTTTACTCTACCTGCACTATATCTTTGGGTGAGCAGTAGTACTTTTCCTGCTGAAGGATCTGTCAGTACTCTTTCCTAATGTGGACTGAATGTGTCCGTCAGCGAGGCCGGTTTGCTGTATGTGTGAGCTGGTGTGAGTGCGTCTGTGTTGGCTGTATTTGCTGGCGGTGTTCCTCATGTTTACAGTACAGCTCGTCTCTCTGACTGAGGCTCTGCAGCTCTGCTCCTCTGCGCTGGAAATGTGGAAAGTTCTGCGCAGTAAAACAGTTTACACTGTTGCCTTGGTCTCACACACATTCCAAGAATCCAAGGCTGGAAAACTTGCCTTAAAAAAGCCTCAAACACGAGCGTGCTATTCTTAGACTCATCTGCTCTATTTCTGACCCTCATTCTTAAAGGGGAAGCAGCCACTGGTCTCCTGTGTACTGGTGGACACATGAGTTCAGACTGACCACTGACCCACACAAAGTGCTCATAGATCAAACAGAAGGCTCATATATTCAGATTGCTCAGAGAAGAAGAGTAGGCAAGAGCACCAGGATGAGCTTCTGGATCTGGTCTGATGGACACTTTACTGCCCCATGAGGCCACAGGAGAAGGATTATGATTGACCTAATATACAAATACACTTCATTGAACAGATATGAATATGTGATATGTGAAGTGTAGATACACATATATTTAACCTATTATACTATATAACTGCAGGTTAATTATACTGTAAAAAAAAAAAATCTGTAATTTTACAGTTTATTTCTGGCAGCTGGGGTGCCAAAAAAAACTTAAAATAACGGATATTAAATTACAGAAATATACTGTAAATAACAGATATTAAATTACAGAAATATACCATAAATAACAGATATTAAATTACAGAAATATACTGTAAATCACAGATATTAAATTACAGAAATATACCATAAATAACGGATATTAAATTACAGAAATATACCATAAATAACGGATATTAAATTACAGAAATATACCATAAATAACGGATATTAAATTACAGAAATATACCATAAATGACGGATATTAAATTACAGAAACATACCATAAATAACAGATATTAAATTACAGAAATATACCATAAATAACGGATATTAAATTACAGAAACATACCATAAATAACAGATATTAAATTACAGAAATATACCATAAATAACAGATATTAAATTACAGAAATATACCATAAATAACGGATATTAAATTACAGAAATATACCATAAATAACGGATATTAAATTACAGAAATATACCATAAATAACGGATATTAAATTACAGAAATATACCGTAAATAACATATCAAATTACATAAATATACCGTAAATAACAAATATTAAATTACAGAAATATACCTTAAATAACAGATATTAAATTACAAAAATATACTGTAAGTAATGAAAATTAAATTACAGAAATGTACTGTAAAATAACAGATATTAAATTACAGAAATTTACTGTAAAATAATGGAAATTAAATTACAGAAATATACCGTAAAATGGCGAATATTAAATTTTAAGGACAATTCTGTAATTTAACGTCCGATATTTTACGTTGTTTTTCCGGCACCCCAGTTGATAAAAAAAACTGTTTTTTTTTTTTTACAGTGTATGTTTATATACAATAACTTTAACTGTTAAAAGCTTTTAGATATTATTTAATTAGTTAAGGTTATGGGCTCTATTTTAGCAATCTAGGTGCAGAGTCTTAAGCACATGGTGGATTAAGGGCGTGGCCGAATCCACTTTTGCTATTTTTAGGACAGAAAAATGCGGTTAGCACCGCGGAGCATGGTCTAACAGTGTTGTGCTTATTCTCTTAATGAGTTATGGGTGTGCTTTGACAATAAACTATTTAAACAACGTGGAGCAAAATGGGACAATTAGGGTTGTGCTGGTCTGAAAATAGCAACACATTGCGGCAGACACGTCTCGCAGCTTATTGCGCTGGGTGTATAATATGCCCCAATGAATAATAACTAATAAAGTTACAGTAACTAATAACCGTAACTTTTCTGAATTTGAAAGCTGCTTTAAAACAACAACTATTGTGAAAAGCACTATACAAATAAACTTGAATTAAATTGGATTGCATTGATTGACAGTGAGTTTAAAATCAAGATACATAAATCAAACTAATAGGTCACTTGATAAAGACAACATGGCAGATGTTGGAGATATGTGCCCAGGGCTACATTTCTGAAAACTCAGAAATATGTACCCTGGGCTATATCTTCTTGCAGTTTTGGTTTTTACAAATGCACTAGAGGGCGCTGTGTACATTTTAGACAATCTCAAATACATTACTGGGGCTAGTTTTTTCATAAGTGCCATTTCGCGTAAATCCACTAGGGGGCGGATTGTTCAATAAGTGTAACTCAGGGTCTGTTATTTTTGTGTGGTCATGTGTGTGTGTGTGTGTGTGTGTGTGTGTGTGTGTGTGTGTGTGTGTGTGCTGTTGCAGCGGAGCCTCTGGTCAGACAGGTGAAGAAGACCCGAATCAGCAGAGAGGATTTCCACATCCTGAAGGTGATCGGCAGAGGGACGTTCAGCGAGGTCAGCTTTTACAGAAGTCTGCTGTTTACACTGAGTTTACACTGAAGTATTCATTTAGATGTTCAAGCGTAAAACAAGATGAAAGACTCAATAGTTTACTGTTAAACACAGGTGGCTCTGGCGCGCATGCGTAACACACAGCAGGTTTACGCTGTGAAGATCATGAATAAATGGGACATGCTGAAACGTGGAGAGGTAAACAAACACACACACGCACACACACTCACACACACATATATGTTTGTTGCAGTGTGATATGGCTGTATATGGGCAGGCGTGCGTTGGCTCAAGCTGCAGACTGAGTACCTTAGTGTCCCACCAGTACCGATATAAGGCCATATCTCTCTGCTACTCGTGTGATATTGCATTTATACAACACTTTTATGGCATAATCATGTGTATAAAAAAGAAAATCAAACACGGAGAGTCTCAAAACCCTTTTCTAAGAGGAACTACTTTCTTCCGCCGTTTATTTACATCTATAGCTGACGTCAGAACTGCAGAAACCACTGCTCATTCACCACCGTCACTGTAGAGCTAGTGTTTGAATGATTCTCTAGCGTAATGTCTAAAGTGAAGACAAAACAGTCTGTGTGTGTGTGTGTGTGTGTGTGTGTGTGTGTGTGTGTGTGTTCAGATGGCGTGTTATCAGGAGGAGCGAGAGGTTCTGCTAAAGGGGGACAGAAGGTGGATCACAGAGTTGCACTACGCCTTCCAGGATGATGATTACCTAGTGAGAGAGAGTCACAAACACACACACACACACACACACACATACACACACACACACACACACACACACACACACACACACACACACACACGTGTAGTACATCAAGTTAAACTAACTGACAATAAGCTTTTTATTTAGAAACTTCTTACATAATAGCTATGCGTTCTGCTTCTCCTTCTTCTCCTCCTCTCCTCCTCAGTACCTGGTCATGCATTATTATGTTGGCGGTGACCTGCTGACGCTGCTGAGTAAGTTTAATGACGGTCTGCCGGAGGAGATGGCGCAGTTTTACCTGGCGGAGATGGTGATGGCCATCGACTCCGTGCACCTGCTGGGATACGTCCACAGGTACAGCAGAAGCAGAAAACACTACATGCTCTATACTTACAGCTGAACTTTTGCTATTGTGTACTTAGCATAATTTAGCTTAGCATAAACCAGAACATAAACTGAACATAACCAGAACATAAACTGAGCATAAGCTGAACAATGCCAGGACATAACCAGAACATAACCAGAAGATAACCCAAACATAACCAGAACATAAACTAAATATAGCCAGAGCATAAGCTGAACATAACCTGAACGTAGCCAGAACATAACAAGCACATTAACTAAACAATGCCAGAACATAACCAGAACATAACTAAAACATAACCTGAACATAACCAGAACATAAACTAACCTAAACCTAACCTGAACATAACCAGAAAATAAACTGAAACTAACCTGAACATAACCAGAACATAACCTGAACATAATAAGAACATAACCTAAACTTAACCAGAACATAAACTGAAAACACCTAAACATATCCAAAACATAGTCTGAACATAACCAGAACATAAACTGAACCTAACCAGAACACAATCTGAGCATAACCTGAAGAAAAACAGAACATAGTTATGTTAAATTTCTAACGTAAATTGAACATAAACTAAACTAAATTTATTATATTCATGCAGTGATGTCTGTGCTCTTCTCATAGAGATATTAAACCTGACAATATCCTGCTGACGGCAGACGGCCACGCACGGCTCGGGGATTTCGGCTCATGTCTCCGGCTAGAAGATGATGGACTGGTGAAGTTTTATTCTGGGCCTGTACCACAATGCTGGCTTAATAAACTCAGAGTTGCAGGATTAGTTTCCAGTTGAAAGAACCAAACCATTGCAGTCAGGGTTTATTGGTACCATTAAGATTTCTCTGTTAATTCCAGCTTAATTTTCTTTTTTTAAATTCTTTTGTTTATTATTCTCCTTAATTTAGTTTGTGAGCATGAGCAAATAAAGGCAGGAGTTCTGGAGTTATATTTATGCCACAATTCTGTGCACAAAATTTTAAATGTGTGCAAAATGACTTGACTTTATGCTTTAGTTTAGTCTTTAGTTTTTTGTGGTCCCATTTGTGTGCATGCAACATCACCCGACTTGTGCACAAAAGTAACCTCAATACTGAGTTTACACAACATGCCATTTTGAATATAAAAAGAGCATAACTTGAACACTCATGCTAACATCATGGTAGCTAAAACCCAGAATTGGTGTGAACTAAACTGAAAGTTATCCACCAGCTAATCTAGCTGCATGGCGTAGGCACAGATGTGCTCAGGTGTGTGTGTTCTGACAGGTGCACTCGGCGGTGGCGGTCGGGACTCCAGATTATCTGTCTCCAGAACTCCTGCGGGCGGTGGAGGCTGGTGGGGGATACGGATCTGACTGCGACTGGTGGGCTCTAGGCGTCTGCGCATATGAGATGCTGCTGGGAACCACACCGTTCTATGCAGAGTCCATCTCTGAGACCTACGCCAAAATCATTCACTTCAAGGTAAAGCAAATCAGAGCTGTGGGTGGGTAGAACATAACCAGAACATAAACTGAAACTAACTTGAACCTAACCTGAACATAACCAGAATATAACTAGAACATAACCTGAACATAACCAAAACATAAACTGAACAATGCCAGAACATAAACTGAGCAATGCCAGAACATAACTTAAACATAAACAGAACAGAAACTGAACATAGCCTGATCATAAACTAAACATAATCTGATCATAACCTGAACATAACCAGAACATAAACTGAAACTAACCTGAACATTACTAGAACATAACCTGAATATAACCTAAAGTGAACATAACCAGAATATAGCCAGAACACAAACTGAACATAACCTGAACATAGCCATAACAAACTGAACAATGCCAGAACATAACTTAAACATAAACAGAACATAAACTGAACATAGCCTGACCATAAACATACCATAACTTGAACACAACCAGAACATAAACTGAAACTAACTTGAACCTAACCTAAACATAACCAGAATATAACTAGAACATAACTTGAACATAACCAAAACATAACCTGAACATAGCCAGAACATAAACTGAGCAATGCCAGAACATAACTTAAACATAAACAGAACAGAAACTGAACATAGCCTGATTATAAACTAAACATAATCTGATCATAACCTGAACATAACCAGAACATAAACTGAAACTAACCTGAACATAACTAGAACATAACCTGAATATAACCTAAAGTGAACATAACCAGAATATAGCCAGAACATAAACTGAACCTGAACATAGCCATAACAAACTGAACAATGCCAGAACATAACTTAAACATAAACAGAACATAAACTGAACATAGCCTGACCATAAACATACCATAACCTGAACATAACCAGAACATAAACTGAAACTAACTTGAACCTAACCTAAACATAACCAGAACATAACCTGAACATGACCTGAATCTAAAGTGAACTTAACCTGAACATAGCCAGAACATAACCTGAACGTAATGTGAACATAAACTAAACAATGCCTTAATAAATCAGAACATGACTAAAACATCAACTGATTATGGTTATATTATGTGTCAAGCTGAAATAAAATAAACAAATGAATATATATATTGAATAAGATATGCAAGTTTATATAATTTATATAACCACCCGTGAGATGTATGCATGTGCTAATGAATGAATCACTCCCTGAGATGACTCCTCGTTCAAGAATCACATTAAAGATTCATTCAAAATAAATGAATCATTCAACAACGACTCATCATGAAATACATGTGCAGCAATAAATCAAACATAAAAAATAGACATTGCCCCGAGCTCCTATCAGAGATCTCAGCAGTTTATTAGTGGCCAGCGAGAAATAGGGGAAGCAGATATACACTTCATCTTTCACAGTGTAAATAAAGTTCACTGCTTAACAAAAGCTTATCTTAGAGCTTCCTCTTGTGTGCAGAAAAAGTGAAACTAATCATCAGAAATGACCCTGAAGCTTAAAGGTGAGCGTCTGCTTGAGGAAGCCAGATGAAGGCTATTACTGACCAATTAAAATGATGAAACCGAAACAGGCAGTATTGTGTGTTTAAAGTGCAAC